TTTTTTGTTGTTAACGAAACGGCCCCATCAGTATTTAAACACATGCAACATAATTAGTGGCGGATCTAAAAAATTTAATGACTATGGTCCAAAATTTTAATACTCGGATCTAAAAAATTTGGGTGTACAAATTTTCTTAATTTTTCTTATTCTTATTAGTAAACTAAACTAAATTTAACAATTTTCTTAAAATAATGGCCGTGCAATGGGTTCCCTATGATTTTTTTAAGTTTTTGCCCAGTATCCCAAAAATGTCCGAGACGACTTGGATTACACTTTAAAGAAGAAAAGCTTAAATCGTTATAATGCAAATGGATGCTTGTATTTTGAAGTACAAACAAGATAATATCATTGAAAGATGATATAAGAGAATGTATGATTGGGGATGGCAACGAAATGAAGCCAGTGATCTAAACTCAATCAAAGAACGAGATGAAAGACGGATTACATTATTGTCACAATCTAAGGTTTTGAATGGGAAAGAAAATTATTAGAAAGTTAAGATAAGAAAAAAAGATTAATATGAAGATAATGAAGATAAAGACAATAAGATAAACAAAGACAAAGAAGATAAAGATAAGATGACTTAGTCAAAATTAGGGTTTTGGTGATGATGGGCGAGAATGGTGATTTGATGATGACGACTACGGTGATGATGTTGATTGATAGATAGTTATCCTACAAACCCTTATAATCACAATTGACTAAGAAAACTCGATAATTGAATCTAACCAACTCTCCTTATCGCAATGAGAAGGCAAACCAAAGTGTAAAGATCTTCCTCACGAAGAACTTAAAAAACTTAATGATGAAGAATGCTTCAAAGGTAAGACAATCAACACTGGCAGAAACGAACTCTCGTTGTATTATTAATCAAAGAAATCTGATTTACAATGGTGAATGAAACCTCCTTTATACAGGGTGGGTTCCATGAATCTAAGTAACTACAGAATAAAAATAATAATAAATTAAATATAATTTTTAACTCTATCTTAATTCTTAATAAAATAATAAATCTAATCCTCAAAGATAATGCATCATCTATATTAAATTATCTTAAAAATAATCAATAAAAATATTGATAATATTTACAAAATATGGTATTAATCACATATATAAATTTCTGCGTGCGTTGTCTTCACTAAAATGGGCGTATCTTGGGTTCCCGACATTGAATTGACGCGTTTCAAATACCATTGGAAAGCTAAGAGACAATCGATCGTATCTCCAAAAGACATGTCGACAAAATAACACTCAGATCCCATTTTAAAAGTCATCACAAGTCTGTTGATCTTCTTTTTCAAGACTTCGTTGTGTGGATCAATTGGAAAAAATAATCAATCTTCTTTTGATGTGAGCCTTGTGGTGCAAATATCAATGTAGTTTCAAATTATAGTATTTTTTTATTTATGGGTGAATAAAGATCATAAAAATTTAGATGTTATCTGAAAAATAATTAAATAAAATTATATAGGTAACAGAGGTGTACATGTGACTTGAGGATCTCACCATTTTCTACTATTTAACTCACTAGCCTTGAGCCACTCTCTTCATTTCATATTATATCCTTTTTTTAAAAAAATAAAACAAAAGAAAAATAAGATCAAAAGAGGTGAAGGAAAAGTCTATTGGGTTTATCACCTTTCTTTCGTTTATATTAATTTTGACTACACTCAGCATCATAAACCTTATCAAACAATCCATACAAAGGAATTTCCTAGGGTAAACTACCTATTTGGTCAATCACTTATTACTTAGTTTCTATTCTAGTCAATCAACTATTTTTTTCTAAGATCATACCTAACGTTATATTTCGGTTTTATTTTGATCACACTCCGTTAAAAAATTAATAGTGATGCTGATATGTTGTCATAAGATAATGCCACGTTAGAATTTAAAAATAATAAAAAATATCATGTCAGCATCACTATTAATTTTATATCAACAGATGACCAAAACATAATCAAAACATAACGTTAGATGTCATTTTTAAAAAAAAATTGAGTAACCAAAATAAAAACTAAGTAATAATTGGTGATCAAATATGTAATTTAGCCAATATAATATACTAAATATATAGGGTGTCTTTATGGTCAATGAAGTAAAAAAAATGTGTTTATACTAATTATGGAAGTTGTATGTTCTTGTGGAAAATACAAATAATGTAACTGCTATATTTTTAAGGTATGTAACTGCTATTGTTAATATAGTAATATAAAACCATAATATATATATATATACAAGGACGGCTCTGGGTATTTTTTGACCCGGGACGAAATAAAACAAATGAGCCCTATTTATGTTCTTTATTTTTTTAACTCAGACGAAATAAAAGAAATGAACCCCTAATTATGTAAAATATTACATTTATAAATTAATAGGCACTATAAAAAATATTATGGGCCTTAGGCGGGCGCCCCTCCTGCCCGCCCGACCCTATATATATATATATTATTTACTTTCTGATTTAGCATCGGCAAGTTTGCTTGTTGGAGTTTGGATAAAAGGATCAAAGGAAAGGGCAAAGTATAGCATTGTACGTTGCATCAAAGGTGAGATTTTATTCTTTTTATTTTTGGTGAACTACACATTTAGTACCTAAACTATAAGTTTTAGTCTGTTTCAATACCTATATTTTTTATTTTTTTCAAAATCATATCTAATGTTTAGTTTTTATTTCACTTTAGTATCCTCCGTTAAAAACTTAACACGTTTAGTACCTAAACTATCAGTTTTGATCTGTTTTAGTACCTAAACTTTAAAAAAAAATCAAAACTTAACATTAAATTTTTAACAAGGGTAGTAAAATAAAACAAAAACTAAACTTTAAGTATGATTTAAAAAAATTAAATACTAAAACGGATAAAAACTGATAATTAGATATTAAATACGTAATTTAATGTTCTACTTTTTGGTAATTAAAAACGTGCAAGTTTTCTTAGATAATAACCAAAAACCAGCGGCTGAGAAAGATAGCTGGTCATCTCTTCCTTAACACAAAGACTTAAAAGGCATCTAAGTGAAGTGGTGAATTTCATGAGTGGAGTTTCACTTTTTCTGTAAAAGAAGTTTGGGTAAATTATACATTTAATAGTTAAACTATCAGTTTTGATCTGTTTTAGTATATAAATTTTTAACTTTTTCAAAACTATACTTCGCATTTTAGTAATTGTCGTTAAAAGTTTCACACGTTTAAACTATCAATTTTAATATATTTTAATAACTAAATTCATTTTTTTTAATTTAACATTGAATTTTGAACGGGGGTACTAAAATGGAAAAAATTTAAAATTTTAGGTATAATTTTGAAAAATTAAAAGTTTAAGTATTAAAATAAACCAAAATTGATGATTTAAGTCTAAACACATAATTTACCCAAAAGGTCTTGCAAGTTGGTGAATATGCTTCTCTTATTTCTACAAAGAGATAAGCTATGTTAGGGTTATTTAGTGGGATACTGTGAATCAACGAATAGAAAAATGAAACAACACCGATTGATTCAAGTAGTATGTAACTTGATATCGCTTAATCAAAGTCTTGATTTCGAATCATTGTATATGCAAAAAATCCCTGTAGGGAGACTCACTCAGTAAAATCAGGTGTGCGACACATGTCAATTTGGATTAGCTTGATATCGCTTAATTAATGTCTCGATTTCGAGTCATTGTGTATGCAAAAAATATCCGTTGGGAGACTCACTTACTAAAATCAGGTGTGCGACACATGTCAATTCAGATTAATCGGCGAAGCCTTAAAATTGGGAGGAAATAAAAAAAAATTGAGATGGAGTCAATTATTAATATTATAAAGTTGGGATAAACGTTATAAATATTTCAATAGCTGCTTATCAATATTATAAATCTATTTTAATGCTTTAATTGTTATTTAATATTATAAATATTAGGAATAGATATAAGTCGAGTTGGAACGAATTTTCAATTAACTTAATTCGAGAAAAGTAATTCCTGCTTAAATCCTATTTGATCCGAATGCAAAAAACTTTACTCCATCTGAACCCGACTCAATTTATAGATTAAAAACTTGACCTAAATCTAAATCCAACCCGATTACTAGACAATACAACCTGCAACGCAACTGATATAGTATTTGACAATTTCATGTCCATCCTTAATTATGATAAGTATTAATGATTTGTAAAAATGTTATAATTTTATAAATTTCTGTCGACGTAATCTTTGAATTTTGATTTTATCATTTAAATAAATTACTTTATTTATTATTACATCGTTGATCAAAATGACTTTCCATCTCTCTTCAACACCATTATTATTGGAATATAAACTCAATACTTCTTTGAAACTCCATTCCGTTTAGAGATGCTTATAATTTGTCAATGATAATCTTCATTTTTGTTCATTAATGATTTCTGTAGCGTTATTTAATTATAAACATGAATCTGATTAATGCTATGTATAATGTTAAATTTCAATTTTAATTAGTAGATAAATTCTATGTTTTAATTGATGAACAATCTAAAACAATAATTATAACTTATTATTAATATAATTCTATCTATACCATAATAAATTTTAATTATTATTTTCATATAATTCACGTGCCCTACAAGAATTCTATTCATGTACAAATACATATTATAATTATTAAATTTTTAAATAAATTTTTAATATATATTATTAAATAATATAAAGTTTTATTTAGTCAAAATGGTGTTATTGTTATTATATTATAAGTATATAAAAACGGACGAAAATGTTAGGTGGACCAATAAAAGGTTAGGTGGGAGGGGTAAAAGAGTAAACGAAAGAGAAAGGAAAACAGCTGCGAATAAGCGAGGAAAGAGATCCAAGGGGCAGTAATACATCGTTTGTTGCAAAAGACGAGAAAAGGAAAAGAAAAATAGCGACAATCTCGAAGCTATTTTCTCTCACTGTCCATTTTACCCTTTAAGTCTTTTTCTCTTTAAAAAACCCTAATCCTAACCCCTCCCTTCCTTCCTTCAAAAAAAAAAAAAACTATTACTTCTTCTCATCCTTTGCACCTCAATCATGTCTTGCTTCATTAGCAAATACGCCGGTAATTACTCTTCCCTTTCATTTGTAGTTAATTTTGTGTTTATAGTCTTTATCTCTTGGATTGATCTGAGTGATCTCTTAGTTGTTTGGTTGGTTTGACGATGATACTTTGTTAGTTACTGTTTAACAAAATTAGTTGAGTGATATATAGATTTATTAAGATCTTCTTAAGTATCATTCATTTGTTGTTGCGATCTGATTGTCAGCGGGGATTGACTAAATTTATTCGGTGATTTTTAATCTAAAGAAACTTGACAGATTTTTCGTAAGTTTTAATTTAAAGTAAATCCGTTCAAATTGTTTTCTTCTTTATTTGGTTAATTTCTGAACTGAAGATGTAGATCAGCATGCATGCGCTTCTTATACATACAATCTATCCTTTTCTTCATGTTTTTAAACTGAGCGATATTTATCAATATATGATTTTTAAAATTTTTAGTCTATTTATCAGTCCTAGATGTTCTTAAAACTGTCATGATATCATCCGATTCAAGATGAAGGGGTTGGGGGAAGATTGATGAAGTTGATAATGTTAATTATTTGCGTTGTGGTGTTTCCATTCTAGATCTGAGATCCCTGAAACTTATCCATTCACCCTTAAGTTGCTCCAGTTTTTTTTTTTAATTAATTGGATCTATATGTTAAATCTTTAATGGGAAGTTGTTGACATGATTATTTATTTTGACTTGTGAATCTTGTAGATGAGTTAGCTAAGAACGCTGCCTACATTGGCACCCCGGGAAAGGGTATCCTTGCTGCTGATGAATCCACTGGCACAATTGGCAAGCGTCTTTCGAGCATTAATGTAGAGAATGTAGAAGAAAACAGGCGAGCTCTCCGTGAGCTCCTCTTCACCGCTCCTGGAGCACTTCAGTACCTTAGCGGTGTTATCCTCTTTGAGGAAACCCTCTACCAAAAAACTGCCTCAGGTATTATTACAGAACTCAATTGTTAATATATTCTTTTTAAAAACAATGTATGGGTGGTTATTGGTTTCTGATATTGATTTACAATATGCAGGCAAACCGTTTGTTGATGTTTTGAAGGAAGGTGGTGTCCTCCCTGGCATCAAGGTCGACAAGGGTACTGTTGAGCTGAATGGAACCAATGGTGAGACTTTCACTCAGGGTCTTGATGGCCTCGCACAACGATGCCAGAAGTATTACGAAGCCGGTGCTCGCTTTGCCAAGTGGCGTGCTGTTCTCAAGATTGCCGCCAATGAGCCATCTGAACTTGCAATCCAAGAAAATGCCAACGGGCTAGCCATGTATGCTGCCATCTGCCAGCAGTGTGGCCTTGTCCCCATTGTTGAGCCCGAAATTCTTGTTGACGGACCACACAACATCAAAAAGTGTGCTGAAGTGACAGAGCGTGTCCTTGCTGCTTGCTACAAGGCTCTAAATGACCACCATGTTATGCTTGAAGGTACTCTTTTGAAGCCCAACATGGTGACCCCAGGTTCTGACTCTCCTAAGGTTGCACCAGAGGTTATTGCGGAGTACACCGTCCGCGCCTTGCAGCGTACAGTCCCTGCTGCAGTCCCAGCTATTGTCTTCTTGTCTGGTGGGCAAAGTGAGGAAGAGGCTACCCTTAACCTTAACGCCATGAACAAGCTCCAGACGAAGAAGCCATGGTCACTCTCGTTCTCTTTCGGACGTGCCCTTCAGCAGAGCACTCTCAAGGCGTGGGCCGGAAAGGAGGAGAATTTGAAGAAGGCACAAGATGCTCTCCTTGTTAGGTGCAAGGCCAATTCGGAGGCTACCCTTGGTACTTACAAGGGTGATGCGAAGCTTGGTGAGGGTGCTGCCGAAAGCCTTCACGTCAAGGACTACAAATACTAAGAATAGCCTTGTGGTATATTGTGCCATGTTCAGGAGAGTGAATTTGGGTATTGATATCAGGCCTATAGTGTTTTTCTTTTAATTATTGGTTTTGTGCCGCTGCTTATCGAAATTAAGTTGTGAAATCAGACAGACAAATAAGCTTGGGGAGCCTTTGTGCTCCTCGAGTGTCGATGGTATTTTGTTGTTGTTTCTTTCAGCTTAAAACAATTTTCTCTGCTTACATAAATGATGCGTGAGCCTGCATTTTGGCACAATGACCTACTTATATTTTTAAAATTTGTGTTTTGTTCATTTATCAGTCACAACTCACAAGCCTTCAAATGAAGACCTCGAATGTGACGGAGTCTTGATTAAGAATCATTTAAATGACATTTAAAGTCTTGATTTAGGATCATTTATTTAGAGCCATTACTTGATTGGTTCGACTCCCACACTTCATATTTTATTTCCTTCAGTTTTAACCAATACCAGCATAGGTGAATGACACGTGAATTATTAATTTCTAAAAGTAAAAAATGATGTCCATATAACTTCATATCCAAACCCATCTAGAAGCTTGAAGCGTTGTAACCACTGAAATAGACATGGCCCTTATATCAATATAAAGATTAATCTCATAACAGAAGTCATATTAATTTCTTTGCTTTTGTGTGAAGGACTAATCTTAATTGTGTGGTCTACACTTTCATTCTGTCAAACAGTTGTTCATCTCCGGCCAAAATGTACGACTTTTTATAATATTAGATTTTCGTTTTCCAATTCGTTGACACAGCTGGTGAGCTAGGATTTCGGGCCGCAACTTTACGGTCAATTATTATTATTTAAATATTAATTAATATCAAATATATATTTAAAAAAATAAATAATTTTTTTATCAAGTATCATCATTTAAAAGAAATTGTATTTACGAAAACGAAAAATATTTTAATCTCTGCTGTGCTAAATTCTTAATTCTGTCCATGGATAGAAAGATTCTCCGACATCGAGGTTATTGTTAAGAGAAAATAATTTCAGTGACCAAAAATCTCATATAATATACGATTTTAACCAATTTTTTTCGGATTTGTCAAAATGACCAACAAAATCGCAAAGCGATCGCTAATTCGCAACGCGATCTCCATTATCGCAAATCAGTTTCCAGATTCGCAACGCGATTATTACTATCGCAATGCGATTTTCCAATTTCGCGTTGTGATTTTCCCAATTCGCAATGCGAATAACAAAATCGCAATGCGAATTTGGAAAATCGCAATGCGATACTGACTATCGCAACGCGATAATACAAAATCGCAATACGAACTTGGAAAATCGTAATGCGATACTGACTATCGCAACGCGATTCTGACTTTCGCAACGCGATTCTGACTTTTGCAACGAGATTCTGACTATTGCAACGAGATAATAGAGAATCGCAATGCGATTTTCAAAGTTCGCAACAGGTTTTAGTTTCGCAACACAAATTTTTTGTGTATATATCTACGCAGCAGCAACAACTCATAACCTAAATCCCTAAATCGCAACTCATTCCATCTCCATCTATCACTCTCTCCGGCGACATCCGTTCCTATATCCAACGACATCCTTCCCCATCCGGCAACAGGTCTTAGTTTCGCAGCTCGTTTGTTTAGTAAATTAATTTACAACCATGAAATCATCTAATGTTGATCATGTTTGGATAGATTTGTGTTTTGGAGGGTCATGGAAGAATGTTCATGGTGTTTTACAATATATGCCTTTACACATGAATCTTCAACTAAAACTGTCATTAAAAAAGTTAACTTATGAAACTCTAATGTTACGTGTTTCAAAGAAATTGAATTTAGAGCCCCTAAGTGGATTTAGGTTATCTTATCAAAGAAATGGTAAAGTTTATTTGTTAACCGACAATGAAGATGTTGAACGATTCATTGCTTACATTAGTGTTTCAAGTGATGATGTTACATTGTATGTTGTTGAACCTAGAAGTAGTATTGTTGGGTCAGTAGCGGGTAGTAATCAACTAAGTTTTTCTCAAAACCCACAACCTTTCTCTAATCCAAATCCCAATCAACTTTCAGCACCAAATTTCGGTTTTCGTATTGACCAATTAGACGATGATGAGCCAAGAGAAAAAATTGTGAGTACTAGTCAGTATTCGAAATTTGATCTTGGTCAATACCCGGACTTTGATATTGGTCAATACTCGGATTTGATGATGTTTCAGAAGAAGAAACAGACCCTGCGTGTAATGATTTTGATATTGGTCAATACCCGAATTTTGATGATGAAACAGCCGTTGTCGAGGAAGATGTTGTTGATGATAATGAGGAGGAAGTTACGACTGTGAATGAACATGTTGAACATCCATTATGTAATTCATATAATCCTGAAGAAGAAAAAGAAGAAGAAAAAGGCTCCGAAGAAAAGAAAATGCCACGGGAGTATAACTGGAATATGCCAGAATTACTTCAGCTACCGGAAGAAGAGTTGGTAAAGAAAGCAGTTGATTGTTACACAAAAGTTATTCGTATCAAGAAAGATGATTGTTTTGATACAAAGGAAGACTTGAAGATAGCTTTGTATAAGAAATGTGTGGAAGATGGCTATCAACTAAAAGTTAACAAATCAAGCAAAGATCGTTTCGAAACAAGGTGTATGATTGACAAAAACTGTACGTGGCGTATGATTGCAAAGAGGATAAAAGATTGCGAAATGTTTCAAGTTAGGACTTTTATTGATAAACATACATGTTCAAGAACCCAAGTTTTTCCTCACCATAGACAGGCAAACAAAAAGGTGTTGGGTGGTTCTCTGGCTGAGTTAATGTTTTTGAATGGCAGGGTATATCGGGGACATGAAATTATGACTAACATAAATGCTCGGTTCAAGATTAGTATATCATATTCTCAAGCTTGGAGAGCCAAATGTTATGCCTTGGAATTGTTGAGGGGGTCGCCAGAAGCATCGTTTGCCCAACTGCCGGCTTATTGTCACAATTTAAAGCTGAAAAATCCTGGGTCGGTAACTCATATCAAAACAGATACAGATGGACGCTTTGAGTTGATGTTTATTGCCATTGGTGCTGCGGTTAGTAAATCAATATAATTCTGTTGACTCATTTTTGTTAGTTACATGCATTTCACATTTAAATGATTATATTTCTTGTGTATATTATTTTGTAGATTCGTTCGTTTATTACTTGCATGCGCCCAGTTATTATAGTTGACGGAGCACATTTGAAAGGTCGATACCTTGGAGTAAACTTATTAGCAGTAGCCATGGATGCTAACAATAGGATATTGCCAATAGCTTACGGGGTTGGCAAATCTGAAACATCTGATTCATGGACATGGTTTATAGGGCATCTTAGGGATTGCATAGGTCCTATTAGCAATCTGGCAATCATATCCGATAGGGCAAACTCAATTGACAACACTGTTAGAAGGTGTTTCCCAGATGCTTTTCATGGACTTTGTGGTGTTCATTTGTATACAAATCTAAAATCAAGGTCTGCTGGTGTAAAAAATCACAAATGGACATACTGGAAGGCTGTAAAAGCTTATCGGGAAGTGGATTTTAATAAGCATATAAACTGTTTAAGACGTGTTTTGCCTCAGTGTGCTCAAACACTAGAAGATGTCGGGTTTGAAAGATGGTCAAGAGTACATCAACTTGGAGCAAGATATGGTTTCATGACGTATAATAGTGCAGAATCAATCAACGCTCTAAGTCGTCATTCCCGGAAATTACCCATTACTATGTTAATGGAGTTTTTTCGAGCCTCTATTCAACAGTGGTACTACAAGAAAAGAAACCATGCAGGTATTATTTCTTTAAATTCGTAACTTATCATATATATTTTACTAAGTATTATTTATTTAAATTTACAGGAACATTGGAACATCGTGTTACACTATGGACAGAAAAAAAGATAACGAAACGTGTTGTGAAGTCAACGTCATGGAGAGTTGAACCCATGTTCAAACACTTTGTTTGAAGTACTGGATAATAACTTAAATGGGCTTGTCGATCTAAATGCAAAGACGTGTAGTTGTATGAAATGGCAAACATTTGGTTATCCGTGTGGCCATGTTATAAAAGTTTCTCTTCATCTAAACCAAGATGATTCAAGCTCATACGCTATGGATTGCTACACTACAGAAGTATATCGACAGACTTATGGCGAGATTGTCTACCCTATTCCACATCCTTCTGAGTGGGACATACCAGATGACTTACAAACAGTTTTGCCACCAGCCATGGACAGAAGGCTACCTGGCCGACCAAAAAGTCATGATCGTATACCGTCTAAGGGTGAAGAGAAGAAGAGATCGACATATAGTCGGTGCAAGGAAAGTGGTCATACAAGGTTGACATGTGGATCACCAGTGCCATCACAATCATCTTTTCCTCTACCAAAATATGGATCCTCATCAAAATCCAAAGCTCATATGGTGTCAAGAATCCTACATATGATGCCATGTGAATCGAGCTCTTGAATGGTGGGAGGGACCTCTTCAACGATGACAGTGGCCTCTTGAACGGTGAGAGGGGACTCTCGAGGAATGATAGGGGCCTCTTCAACGATAGGAGTGGACTCTTGAGGGATGACAGGCGAGTCGGGCTTCTTCTTGCAGTGTCTTCACACTATTGGGGTGTACGGAGACTTAATAGCACGTGCACGCCGTCTGATGCGTGAACTCTGTCGTACAAGAAAAACCCGATGTAAAGCATCCACCTTATCGGTCCGCTAAATAATTAAATACAAATATCAGTAAATAAACAGACATGATATTTAAACAGTGAAAACAAAGACAAATATGTTTCAAACTTGCATTGAATTCACCCAAGTCATTATTCTATCATAGTTCACAAAATGCATCAGATAACAAAGGCAAATATGTTTCAAACTTGCAACACTGTCAACTTAGTATTTGTCTTTGTCTATTGGTTGAAGTAATGCAATTAATTCAAGTTTCAATTTGCAGAAGAAGAATAGTTTCAATTGGCAGCAAACGAACAAATTTACTTTCAACCAAAAGACAAAACAAAGACAAATACTAACTTCACAGTGTTAAAGAATACACAGTTTAGCAGAATTGGCAGCAACTGAACAAATTTACTTTCAACCAAAAGACAAAACAAAAGGCAAATACTAACTTCACAGTGTTAATAAACAGTTTAGCAGTATTGGCAGCAACCGAATAAATTTACTAAGCAATCTAAATGAAATGGTTAATCTAAGTGAAATTACGAGTAAATTTATCATCAAGTT